CTGGCCATGAATGCCTTGTTTTCCTTTTCTTCATCAGAATCTTCATCTTCTTATTCTAAATCATCCCATGTTACCATGAGACCCTTCTTGGCTTTGTAAGCCTTTTTAGGCTTTTTGTCTTTCTTAAGCTTTGGACAATAATTTTTGTAATGTCCAGGCTCGTTGCATTTAATACAAGTGACTTCTTTTCCAAAAGCATTTCTCTGACCAGAAGTGGATTCACCTCTTCCACATGTCATTCTTTGACCTCTGAACTTGCTTTGTCTGTGCTTCCAGATTTGACTTATTCTTCTCGATATTAAGGAGAGTTCATCATCATCTGAATCTTCTTCAGATTCTTCTAATTCTTCCTTAGCTTGGTAAGCCTTGATTTTCCTAAAAGTATTGTTTAGAGAAACTGATTTTACCCTCTTTTGATGTTCATCTTGTTCGAGCTCTATTTCATGACTTCTCAAAGAGCTAATCAGCTCCTCAAGAAAGGTGTTGTTAAGATCATTTGCCAATTTTAAGGAAGTTACCATTGGTCTTCATTTAACATGCATACTTCTGATAATCTTTTTAACATGATCTGCGGTGGAGTAACCTTTGTTCAGAACCTTAAGTCCTGCCATAAGAGTCTGAAATATTGAAAACATTGTTTCCACAGATTCATCGTCTTCCATCTTGAAGGTTTCATACTTTTGAATCAAGGCCAAAGCCTTTGCTTCTTTTACCTATGCGCTGCCTTCATGTGTCATTTGAAGAGAATCAAAAATAGACTTTGCAGTCTCTCTATCTATGATTCTCTCATATTCATTATATGAGATAACACTTAGAAGAATGGTTTTTGCTTTGTAGTGATTTCTGCAAACTTTCATATGTTCTTCAGTCATTGCACTTCTTGCAATCATATGTAGGGGTGTTCAGATCCAATCCGATCCAAAAAAAATCCAAAAACCGAACCGAATAAATCGAAATAAATAAAAAAACCGAATTTTTTTGGATGTATTTGGATCACCATGTAGCATAACCGACCGGTTCGGTTCGGTTTATGGTTGGCTTCATGAGAACCTAACCGGTCCAAACCGAACCGGTATTACTTCCATTTACTTGCCATTTATTAATTAAAATAAATTAATATCGATTTTGAAACTATCAATTATGCTGTCATATATAAAGCAGATCTTCTCTATATATATAATGCAGTTTGTCATATTATTATTATATATTCCTTGTGATGCAACTTTCGCATGTCCACTGTTATTGATATTTTTCTTGAAGTTTTATTATTATATTCGCTTTAATATAGTTTTGGAATCTTCATTTGTTCACTGTTTTATATATTTGTCATATATTTAATTTATAATACAAATCTCCATATAAGAACTAAGCATATCTCCATATATATTATATATTATAGCCATGTCTATTTCGTTGGGATAGATATTATACATATATTATAATGAAACTTTGCAATAATGACATCAAATAGCCATATGAACATAGCAATTAGATATTGTCTCAGTAGACGTTGGTGGCATAATTGTAACTGGTATTGAAATATATTATTTTTAAATTTCTAAATAGTGTTGGTTTAAAAACCGAATAAAACCGATTCAACCGAACCGAAGTAAACTGTATAAATTGGATTGGATTGGATTGGATTTTTCTTGTTGTCATCCAAAAACCGAACCAAACCGTATGCTTTATATATTTTTGGATCGGATGATATTTTGTCTCAAAACCGATCCAAATCGGACCACGAACACCCCTAATCATATGGTCTTTATCATCTAATAGGTGAGTGTAGCCATCAACTACCAAGTCCCATAGATCCAAGTCATATGCTAGAAAGTAACTTTATATTCTATCCTTCCAAGTCAAATTTCTCCCCATCAAACATAGGAGGTTTTGGACTATAGTGATCTCTATCATTATCCCTATTATCAAAAGTGGAAGTAGATGTAGCCACTGGTTTTTCACACATACTGGATTGGTACTGGACACTGTTAAGTGTTGATAAAAATTAAAACTTTTTATCTTCTCAGAACCGGAGCTCTGATACCAATTGAAGGTGTGAAAAACTTAAAAAAGGGGGGGGGGGGTTGAATTGGGTTTTTAAAATAAAACTATTCTTTTAAAAAAATTCCCCTTTAAGTAAAAATGTTTTTTCCTTCACTCTTGATAATAATAATAAGTAAGAACAAGAATTAAAGAACAAAGTATGTTTATACTAGTTCACTTGAAAATTATCAAGCTAGTCTAGTCCACCCGCAAAGGTGATTTCGCCTAACTCAATCGAGGACTTAATTCACTATAACTAAAATGATTACAATCTCCACAAGCTACCCGCCAGTGACTAACAACCTCTAGACTTGAAATCCGTGGACTTCTTAAGGATTCAGACCTACCCGGTCCCTTAAGGAATATCAACTAATAATCAACCTGATTATTACAATGCACAAGCTACCTGTAAGTGATTAACAACTTCTAAAACTCGCGAGCTCTATATTTCTTAAGGATTTAGACCTACCTGGCCCCTTAAGGAATATCAAACAACACTTTTAATACAAGTTTTGTTTACAAGAGTATTGCTTCTAAAAAATGGAGTATGTAAACTATTTTATGAATAATAACTGAAGAATGTGAAAGCAAAAAATAGTGTTTGCGCGTGAATATTCAGTAGTTGGCCAGTTTTTTTTCTTAGTCTTTAAGCATTTATATATCCATTAACATAATATATCCATTATGGTACACTCTTGGAATTTCCAGAAACATTGGCAGTTGAACAATAACGCGGGGGACAAGATCGTGCGACGTGTTCGTCCTTTTATTATAGTGGAATAAAACATCGATTGTACCATCTACTATTTATACCATGTTAACGTTATCTTATTTCCTTCTACACTTCAGAGGCTTGTGAGAGCATGAGTTTAGAAGAGAGAACATAACATCAGGTCATCATAACTTCAAGTGTTTCGAGTCTTCAGAACCGCGTCTTTAGAGTCTTCAGCACTTGGTTATGGGAGCCTTTTCTGTGAACCTTGGGTCTTTAGGACTTCAAGTCTTTAGAATATTTAGACCTTCATTCTTTTAGAGTCTCCAACACTTGGTCCTCAAAACCCTTATCTTTAGAATTTCATAAATAGAAACACAAGATTTCAACATCTGAACTTCAGTAGAAACTTTGTCTTCATATCTTCTAACTTTGTTTCTTTGGAACATGTTGTCTTTAGAAGTTTTGAGTCTTCAGTATCTAGACGTAAGTATAGACTTCTGTCTTCAGATCTTTTGACTGGTTTCACTAGACAAACATCAGAGTTTACACTTAAGAGTCTTATGGAGTTTCTTTTTTACTGTTCAACAGAACTTGTGTAGCATAGAAGCGGAATCATTTCTCTTCTAATGTCTTGGCCATGACATCCATCAGAAGTAGAACCTGTTTGTTAAGTACTCAACAATAACAAACATTAGTATAAAAAAATTATTCATACAATCATACTCATTTTTTATCATAAAAACAAAAAGATAATATTGCATAACCAAATCTTGTTCTTACATTTATTTCTTGTAGTTGATAAAGGAAAATAATGCAAGTTAGTGGGGTACACTGATTCAAGTTGGTGTAGTGATGTTGAAGAGCGAAACTCAACAGCAGGATATGTGTTTATGCTAGGTGGTGCATTAGTTGCTTGGAGTTTGAGAAAAGAACCAGAAGTTGCATTATCATTGTGTGGAGAAGAGTACATAACTGCTTCTCTTTGTGCATGCCAAGCAACATGGATGGTGAATTTGGTCGAGAGATTACATGTAAAGATCATGGATCAATTACCATGAAGATCGACAGCATGTCAACTGTCAATCTGATGAAAAATCTGATAGCACATGGTCGAAGCAAACACATAGAAATGAGGTTTCACTATCTTGGAGAGTAGGTAGCAAAAGCAAAGATGAACTTGGAACACTACAGAACTGAGAATCAGATTGCAGACATCATGACGAAGGGAGTGCATATTGAAGTTTTCAGAAGACTAAGAGTTGTGATGAATATAGATAGTTTAGACACAATGAATTAGGTGGTGTGTTGAAAGTGTAATTTCTTGCGTTGAAAGCAGTAGGTTTCTCGACATGAGGTTGTGTCAAATTAGATTAGTATGTGGAGTTGTTAGGTGTGTCGAATCAGTTGCTACACACAAATTTGATTTAGATTTGATTTACTTCTAAAATAGGTATTTTAGGCTTTTAGAGTTTGCTGTTTTTGGCTTAGGTAGAAAGCAAGCTCAATTATAAATAGAGGGAATAATCCCTTTTTTGTAACAAATTTATTCATTCACAGTATTTACAGTTGCAAGTGAATAAAAAAGTTTTTCATACTTTATGGACAGAAAGAAACTCTGCAGAAATCCTAAATCTTTTTTTTCTTCTTTAATTTTCTTTTCATTCATTGTCATTGTATAATGATAACAATTTTGTTCATCAAGATTAATAGAAATCCATCATAAATTTTAGTGGAATTCCAACACATATAGAGAGTTTGGTCAACTACAAAAGATAGAAGATTAAATATTACAATTTATAATGAATTACTTAATTGGATGATCCAATTTACTCATCAGACACAAAACACAATCAAATAATTTATTAATAATTAATGTTTAATGACACTTTTAATTTCTAACCCAAACTTGTTCAAATTAAAATAGCTGAACCAACTGAACAGTTTCAAATGCCCTAGATTTATATTTCATTTTTCGGAACAAATCCTTAAGGTACTTAGAAAGTTTAATAATCAACCTTAAATTATTTAGTAACATTTCTTAAAATTTAGTAAATCCTAGCAAATTTTTGTTGTGAATATATTTGGATATCAAAAAATCTAAAAGATATTACATAAAACACTGAAATTTCAAATAATTAAGTTCAAACATACATAATATATTGTGATTGGATGATATCAACAATTACAAGACATACCACACCGAAGACACTAAATATATAATATATGTTATTTTTACATCATATTATTCCTTATTCAATTGTTGAACATAGGGATGGTTATTATCATGGTCACTTCCATCATGATTAGGCACCCAAGCAATAGCCTTATTTCTAACAAAATGACAAATCGGAATTGTCCCGGGCTTAACATTTAAAACTTCATAAAGCACCTTAGGATCCATACCTCTTGTGTCATGGTGACAGATTGTCAATGCCTTTGCTTTAATTCCATCCGAGGCCACCAATGGAACCATATAAGCCGTTGTTGCATTGACTTGGTGACAATAAAATACAACATTTTCCAAATTTAACCTATGACACATCACTGTATTGTCTCCGATTTTGTTTACTTCTTCTATCACATATTGGTCTTGATTTTGCGGAAAGTAACTCAAAATAACCTTATTATTTTTTCCAAGCTTTGATATGGCAAAATCCATCATCGATTTTAAAGACGGCGCACAATACTTCTCTTCTCTTATAGCTGTCGGATTTGTACAATAGCTACTAAGACTATGTATTTCACTCCATATCCATGTTCCCAAAGGCTGGCCTGCCTTTGATCGTAACGATTGCCGATTAGAATGCTTGTTAATGCCTAAGCTCATTTTCTTTCCAGGATATAGATCATGTTGAAAAAAAGTTGTCCAATCTTGATCCTCATCGTCACCTTTAATGGGTGCAATCTGAAATTCAAAACACTTATCTTTAGAATTTCATAAATAGAAACACAAGATTTCAACATCTGAACTTCAGTAGAAACTTTGTCTTCATATTTTCTAACTTTGTTTCTTTAGTACATGTTGTCTTTAGAATTTTTGAGTCTTCAGTATCTAGACGTAAGTAGAGACTTCTGTCTTCAGATCTTTTGATTGGATTCACTAGAAAAATATCAGAGTTTACACTTAAGAGTCTTCTGGAGAGTTATTTCTACTGTTCAACAGAACTTGTGTAGCATAGAAGTGGAATCATTTATCTTCTAATGTCTTGGCCATGACATCCATCAGAAGTAGAACCTGTTTGTTAAGTACTCAACAATAACAAACATTAGTATAAAAAATATATTCATACAATCATACTCATTTGTTATCATCAAAACACAAAGATAATATTGCAGAACCAAATCTTGTTCTTACATTTATTTCCTGTAGTTGATAAAGGAAAAGAATACAAGTTAGTGGGGTACACTGATTCAAGTTGGTGTAGTGATATTGAAGATCGAAACTCCACAGCAGGATATGTGTTTATGCTAGGTGGTGCATTAGTTGCTTGGAGTTTGCGAAAAGAACCAGAAGTTACATTATCATTGTGTGGATAAGAGTACATAACTACTTCTCTTTGTGCAGGCCAAGCAACATGGATGGTGAATTTGGTCGAGAGATTACAGGTAAAGATCATGGAGCAATTACCACGAAGATCGACAACATGTCAGCTGTCAATCTGATGAAGAATCTGATAGCACATGGTCGAAGCAAACACATAGAAATGAGGTTTCACTATCTTCGAGAGTAGGTGCAAAAGCATATATGAACTTGGAACACTACAGAACTGAGAATCAGATTGCAGACATCATGACGAAGGTAGTGCATATTGAATTTTTCAGAAGACTGAGAGTTGTGATGAATATAGATAGTTTAGACACAATGAATTAGGTGGTGTGTTGAAAGTGTAATTTCTTGTGTCGAAAGCAGTATGTTTCTCGACATGAGGTTGTGTCAAATTAGATTAGTATGTGGAGTTGTTAGGTGTGTCGAATCAGTTGCTACACTCAAATTTGATTTAGATTTGATTTACTTCTAAAATAGGTATTTTAGGCTTTTAGAGTTTGCTGTTTTTGGCTTAGGTAGAAAGCAAGCTCAATTATAAATAGAGGGAATAATCCCTTTTTTGTAACAAATTTATTCATTCACATTATTTACAGTTGCAAGTGAATAAAAAAGTTTTTCATAGTTTATGGACAGAAAGAAACTCTGCAGAAATCCTAAATCTTTTTTTTCTTCTTTAATTTTCTTTTCTTTCATTGTCATTGTATAATGATAACAATTTTGTTCATCAAGATTAATAGAAATCCATCATAAATTTTAGTGGATTTCCAACACATCTAGAGAGTTTGGCCAACTACAAAAGATAGAAGATTAAATATTACAATTTATAATGAATTACTTAATTGGATGATCCAATTTACTCATCAGACACAAAACACAATCAAATAATTTATTAATAATTAATGTTTAATGACACTTTTAATTTCTAACCCAAACTTTTTCAAATTAAAATAGTTGAACCAACTGAACAGTTTCAAATGCCCTAGATTTATATTCCATTTTTCGGAACAAATCCTTAAGGTACTTAGAAAGTTTAATAATCAACCTTAAATTATTTAGTAACATTTCTTAAAATTTAGTAAATCCTAGGAAATTTCTGTTGTGAATATATTTGGATATCAAAAAATCTAAAAGATATTACATAAAACACTGAATTTTCAAATAATTAAGTTCAAACATACATAATATATTGTGATTGGATGATATCAACAATTACAAGACATACCACACTGAAGACACTAAATATATAATATATGTTATTTTCACATCATATTATTCCTTATTCACTTGTTGAACATAGGGATGGTTATTATCATGGTCACTTCCATCATAATTAGGCACCCAAGAAATAGCCTTATTGCTAACGAAATGACAAATCAGAATCGTCCCGGGCTTAGAATTTAAAACTTCATAAAGCACCTTAGGATCCATACCTCTTGTGTCATGGTGACATATTGTCAATGCCTTCGCTTTAGTTCCATCCGAGGCAACCAATGGAACCATATAAGCCGTTGTCATATTGACTTGGTGACAATAAAATACAACTTTTTCCAAATTTAACCTATGCCACATCACTGTATTGTCTCCGATTTTGTTTACTTCTTCTATCACATATTGGTCTTGATTTTGCGCAAAGTAACTCGAAATCACCTTAATATTTTTTCCAAGCTTTGATATGGAAAAATCCATCATCGATTTTAAAGAAGGCGCACAATACTTCTCTTCTCTTGTAGCTGTCAGATTTGTACAATAGCTACTAAGACTATGTATTTAACTCCATATCCATGTTCCCAAAGGCTGGCCTGCCTTTGATTGTAACGTTTGCCGATTAGAATGCTTGTTAAAGCCTAAGCTCATTTTCTTTCCAGGATATAGATCATGTTGAAAAAAAGTTGTCCAATCTTGATCCTCATCGTTACCTTTAATGACTGCAATCTGAACTTCAAAACCCTTATCTTTAGAATTTTATAAATAGAAACACAAGATTTACACATCTGAACTTCAGTAGAAACTTTGTCTCCATATTTTCTAACTTTGTTTCTTTGGAACATGTTGCCTTTAGAATTTTTGAGTCTTCAGTATCTGGATATAAGTAGAGACTTCTGTCTTCAGATCTTTTGATTGGTTTCACTAGACAAATATCAGAGTTTACACTTAAGAGTCTTCTTGAGTGTCTTTTCTACTGTTCAACAGAACTTGTGTAACATAGAAGCAGAATCATTTCTCTTCTAATGTCTTGGCCATGACATCTATCAGAAGTAGAACCTGTTTGTTAAGTACTCAATAATAACAAACATTAGTATAAAAAATATATTCATACAATCATACTCATTTGTTATCATCAAAACACAAAGATAATATTGCAGAACCAAATCTTGTTCTTACATTTATTTCCTGTAGTTGATAAAGGAAAAGAATACAAGTTAGTGGGGTACACTGATTCAAGTTGGTGTAGTGATGTTGAAGATCGAAACTCCACAGCAGGATATGTGTTTATGCTAGGTGGTGCATTAGTTGCTTGGAGTTTGCGAAAAGAACCAGAAGTTGCATTATCATTGTGTGGATAAGAGTACATAACTGCTTCTCTTTGTGCATGCCAAGCAACATGGATGGTGAATTTGGTCGAGAGATTACAGGTAAAGATCATGGAGCAATTACCATGAAGATCGACAGCATGTCAGCTGTCAATCTGATGAAGAATCTGATAGCACATGGTCGAAGCAAACACATAGAAATGAGGTTTCACTATATTCGAGAGTAGGTAGCAAAAGCAAATATGAACTTGGAACACTACAGAACTGAGAATCAGATTGCAGACATCATGACGAAGGGAGTGCATATTGAATTTTTCAGAAGACTAAGAGTTGTGATGAATATAGATAGTTTAGACACAATGAATTAGGTGGTGTGTTGAAAGTGTAATTTCTTGTTTCGAAAGCAGTATGTTTCTCGATATGAGGTTATGTCAAATTAGATTAGTATGTGGAGTTGTTAGGTGTGTCGAATCAGTTGCTACATACAAATTTGATTTAGATTTGATTTACATCTAAAATAGGTATTTTAGGCTTTTAGAGTTTGTTGTTTTTTGCTTAAGTAGAAAGCAAGCTCAATTATAAATAGAGGGAATAATCCCTTTTTTGTAACAAATTTATTCATTCACAGTATTTACAGTTGCAAGTGAATAAAAAAGTTTTTCATAGTTTATGGTCAAAAAGAAACTCTGCAGAAATCCTAAATCTTTTTTTTCTTCTTTAATTTTCTTTTCTTTCATTGTCATTGTATAATGATAACAATTTTATTCATCAAGATTAATAGAAATCCATCATAAATTTTAGTGGATTTCCAACACATCTAGAGAGTTTGGTCAACTACAAAAGATAGAAGATTAAATATTACAATTTATAATGAATTACTTAATTGGATGATCCAATTTACTCATCAGACACAAAACACAATCAAATAATTTATTAATAATTAATGTTTAATGACACTTTTAATTTCTAACCCAAACTTTTTCAAATTAAAATAGTTAAACCAACTGAACAGTTTCAAATGCCCTAGATTTATATTCCATTTTTCGGAACAAATCCTTAAGGTACTTAGAAAGTTTAATAATCAACCTTAAATTATTTAGTAACATTTCTTAAAATTTAGTAAATCCTAGGAAATTTCTGATGTGAATATATTTGGATATCAAAAAATCTAAAAGATATTACATTAAACACTGAATTTTCAAATAATTATGTTCAAACATACATAAAATATTGTGATTGGATGATATCAACAATTACAAGACATACCACACCGAAGACACTAAATATATAATATATGTTATTTTCACATCATATTATTCCTTATTCACTTGTTGAACATAGGGATGGTTATTATCATGGTCACTTCCATCATGATTAGGCACCCAAGCAATAGCCTTATTGCTAACAAAATGACAAATCGGAATCGTCCCGGGCTTAACATTTAAAACTTCATAAAGCACCTTAGGATCCATACCTCTTGTGTCATGGTGACAGATTGCCAATTCCTTCGCTTTAGTTCCATCCGAGGCCACCAATGGAACCATATAAGCCGTTGTCGCATTGACTTGGTGACAATAAAATACAACTTTTTCCAAATTTAACCTATGCCACATCACTGTATTGTCTCCGATTTTGTTAATTCTTCTATCACATATTGGTCTTGATTTTACGCAAAGTAACTCGAAATCACCTTAATATTTTTTCCAAGCTTTGATATGGAAAAATCCATCATCGATTTTAAAGACGGCGCACAATACTTCTCTTCTCTTATAGATGTCGGATTTGTACAATAGCTACTAAGACTATGTATTTCACTCCATATCCATGTTCCCAAAGGCTGGCCTGCCTTTGATCGTAACGATTGCCGATTAGAATGCTTGTTAAAGCCTAAGCTCATTTTCTTTCCAGGATATAGATCATGTTGAAAAAGAGTTGTCCAATCTTGATCCTCATCGTTACCTTTAGTGGGTGCAATCTGAACTTCAAAACCATTATCTTTAGAATTTCATAAATAGAAACACAAGATTTCAACATCTGAACTTCAGTAGAAACTTTGTCTCCATATTTTCTAACTTTGTTTCTTTGGAACATGTTGCCTTTAGAAGTTTTGAGTCTTCAGTATCTAGACGTAAGTAGAGACTACTGTCTTCAGATCTTTTGACTGGTTTCACTAGACAAATATCAGAGTTTACACTTAAGAGTCTTCTGGAGTGTCTTTTCTACTGTTCAACAGAACTTGTGTAGCATAGAAGCAGAATCATTTCTCTTCTAATGTCTTGTCCATGACATCCATCAGAAGTAGAACCTGTTTGTTAAGTACTCAACAATAACAAACATTAGTATAAAAAATATATTCATACAATCATACTCATTTGTTATCATCAAAACCCAAAGATAATATTGCAGAACCAAATCTTGTTCTTGCATTTATTTCCTGTAGTTGATAAAGGAAAGAATACAAGTTAGTGGGGTACACTGATTCAAGTTGGTGTAGTGATGTTGAAGATCAAAACTCCACAGCAGGATATGTGTTTATGCTAGGTGGTGCATTAGTTGCTTGGAGTTTGAGAAAAGAACCAGAAGTTGCATTATCATTGTGTGGATAAGAGTACATAACTGCTTCTCTTTGTGCATGCCAAGCAACATGGATGGTGAATTTGGTCGAGAGGTTACAGGTAAAGATCATGGAGCAATTACCATGAAGATCAACAGCATGTCAGCTGTCCATCTGATGAAGAATCTGATAGCACATGGTCGAAGCAAACACATAGAAATGAGGTTTGACTATCTTCGAGAGTAGGTAGCAAAAGCAAATATGAACTTGGAACACTACAGAACTGAGAATTAGATTACAAACATCATGACGAAGGGAGTGCATATTGAATTTTTCAAAAGACTAAGAGTTGTGATGAATATAGATAGTTTAGACACAATGAATTAGGTGGTGTGTTGAAAGTGTAATTTCTTGTGTCGAAAGCAGTATGTTTCTCGACATGAGGTTGTGTCAAATTAGATTAGTATGTGGAGTTGTTAGGTGTGTCGAATCAGTTGCTACACACAAATTTGATTTAGATTTGATTTACTTCTAAAATAGGTATTTTAGGCTTTTAGAGTTTGCTGTTTTTGGCTTAGGTAGAAAGCAAGCTCAATTATAAATAGAGGGAATAATCCCTTTTTTGTAACAAATTTATTCATTCACAGTATTTACAGTTGCAAGTGAATAAAAAAGTTTTTCATAGTTTATGGACAGAAAGAAACTCTGCAGAAATCCTAAATCTTTTTTTTCTTCTTTAATTTTCTTTTCTTTCATTGTCATTGTATAATGATAATAATTTTGTTCATCAAGATTAATAGAAATCCATCATAAATTTTAGTGGATTTCCAACACATCTAGAGAGTTTGGTCAACTACAAAAGATAGAAGATTAAATATTACAATTTATAATGAATTACTTAATTGGATGATCCAATTTACTCATCAGACACAAAACACAATCAAATAATTTATTAATAATTAATGTTTAATGACACTTTTAATTTCTAACCCAAACTTTTTCAAATTAAAATAGTTGAACCAACTGAACAGTTTCAAATGCCCTAGATTTATATTCCATTTTTCGGAAGAAATCCTTAAGGTACTTAGAAAGTTTAATAATCAACCTTAAATTATTTAGTAACATTTCTTAAATTTTAGTAAATCCTAGGAAATTTCTGTTGTGAATATATTTGGATATCAAAAAATCTAAAAGATATTACATAAAACACTGAATTTTCAAATAATTAAGTTCAAACATACATAATATATTTTGATCGAATGATATCAACAATTACAAGACATACCACACCGAAGACACTAAATATATAATATATATTATTTTCACATCATATTATTCCATATTCACTTGTTGAACATATGGATGGTTATTATCATGCTTCCATCATGATTAGGCACCCAAGCAATAGCCTTATTGCTAACAAAATGACAAATCAGAATCCTCCCGGGCTTAACATTTAAAACTTCATAAAGCACCTTAGGATCCATACCTCTTGTGTCATTGTGAAAGATTGTAAATGCCTTCGCTTTAGTTCCATCCGAGGCCACCAATGGAACCATATAAGCCGTTGTCGCATTGACTTGGTGACAATAAAATACAACTTTTTCCAAATTTAACCTATGCCACATCACTGTATTGTCTCCGATTTTGTTTACTTCTTCTATCACATATTGGTCTTGATTTTGCGCAAAGTAACTCAAAATCACCTTAATATTTTTTCCAAGCTTTGATATGGAAAAATCCATCATCGATTTTAAAGACGGTGCACAATACTTCTCTTCTCTTATAGCTGTCGGATTTGTACAATAGCTACTAAGACTATGTATGTCCCTCCATATCCATGTTCCCAAAGGCTGGCCTGCCTTTGATCGTAACAATTTCCGATTAGAATGCTTGTTAAAGCCTAAGCTCATTTTCTTTCTAGGATATAGATCATTTTGAAAAAAAGCTGTCCAATCTTGATCCTCATCGTTATCTTTAATGGGTGCAATCTGAACTTCAAAACCCTTATCTTTAGAATTTCATAAATAGAAACACAAGATTTCAACATCTGAACTTCAGTTGAAACTTTGTCTTCATATTTTCTAACTTTGTTTCTTTGTAACATGTTGTCTTTAGAAGTTTTGAGTCTTCAGTATCTGGACGTAAGTAGAGACTCCTGTCTTCAGATCTTTTGACTGGTTTCACTAGACAAATATCAGAGTTTACACTTAAGAGTCTTCTGGAGTGTCTTTTCTACTGTTCAATAGAACTTGTGTAGCATAGAAGCAGAATCATTTCTCTTCTAATGTCTTGGCCATGACATCCATCAGAAGTAGAAACTGTTTGTTAAGTACTCAACAATAACAAACATTAGTATAAAAATAAATTCATACAATCATACTCATTTGCTATCATCAAAACACAAAGATAATATTGCAGAACCAAATCTTATTCTTACATTTATTTCCTGTAGTTGATAAAGGAAAAGAATACAAGTTAGTGGGGTATACTGATTCAAGTTGGTGTAGTGATGTTGAAGATCAAAACTCCACAGCAGGATATGTGTTTATGCTAGGTGGTGCATTAGTTGCTTGGAGTTTGAGAAAAGAACCAGAAGTTGCATTATCATTGTGTGGATAAGAGTACATAACTGCTTCTCTTTGTGCATGCCAAGCAACATGGATGGTGAATTTGGTCGAGAGGTTACAGGTAAAGATCATGGAGCAATTACCATGAAGATCGACAGCATGTCAGCTGTCCATCTGATGAAGAATCTGATAGCACATGGTCGAAGCAAACACATAGAAATGAGGTTTGACTATCTTCGAGAGTAGGTAGCAAAAGCAAATATGAACTTGGAACACTACAGAACTGAGAATTAGATTACAGACATCATGACGAAGGGAGTGCATATTGAATTTTTCAAAAGACTAAGAGTTGTGATGAATATAGATAGTTTAGACACAATGAATTAGGTGGTGTGTTGAAAGTGTAATTTCTCGTGTCGAAAGCAGTATGTTTCTCGACATGAGGTTGTGTCAAATTAGATTAGTATGTGGAGTTGTTAGGTGTGTCGAATCAGTTGCTACACACAAATTTGATTTAGATTTGATTTACTTCTAAAATAGGTATTTTAGGCTTTTAGAGTTTGCTGTTTTTGGCTTAGGTAGAAAGCAAGCTCAATTATAAATAGAGGGAATAATCCCTTTTTTGTAACAAATTTATTCATTCACAGTATTTACAGTTGCAAGTGAATAAAAAAGTTTTTCATAGTTTATGGACAGAAAGAAACTCTGTAGAAATCCTAAATCTTTTTTTTCTTCTTTAATTTTCTTTTCTTTCATTGTCATTGTATAATGATAATAATTTTGTTCATCAAGATTAATAGAAATCCATCATAAATTTTAGTGGATTTCCAACACATCTAGAGAGTTTGGTCAACTACAAAAGATAGAAGATTAAATATTACAATTTATAATGAATTACTTAATTGGATGATCCAATTTACTCATCAGACACAAAACACAATCAAATAATTTATTAATAATTAATGTTTAATGACACTTTTAATTTCTAACCCAAACTTTTTCAAATTAAAATAGTTGAACCAACTGAACAGTTTCAAATGCCCTAGATTTATATTCCATTTTTCGGAACAAATCCTTAAGGTACTTAGAAAGTTTAATAATCAACCTTAAATTATTTAGTAACATTTCTTAAAATTTAGTAAATCCTAGGAAATTTCTGTTGTGAATATATTTAGATATCAAAAAATATAAAAGATATTACATAAAACACTGAATTTTTAAATAATTAAGTTCAAACATACATAATATATTGTGATTGGATGATATCAACAATTACAAGACATACCACACCGAAGACACTAAATATATAATATATGTTATTTTCACATCATATTATTCCATATTCACTTGTTGAACATAGGGATGGTTATTATCATGCTTCCATCATGATTAGGCACCCAAGCAATAGCCTTATTGCTAACAAAATGACAAATCGGAATCGTCCCGGGCTTAACATTTAAAACTTCATAAAGCACCTTAGGATCCATACCTCTTGTGTCATTGTGAAAGATTGTAAATGCCTTCGCTTTAGTTCCATCCGAGGCCACCAATGGAACCATATAAGCCGTTGTCGCATTGACTTGGTGACAACAAAATACAACTTTTTCCAAATTTAACCTATGCCACATCACTGTATTGTCTCCAATTTTGTTTACTTCTTCTCTCACATATTGGTCTTGATTTTGCGCAAAGTAACTCAAAATCACCTTAATATTTTTTCCAAGCTTTGATATGGAAAAATCCATCATCGATTTTAAAGACGGTGCACAATACTTCTCTTCTCTTATAGCTGTCGGATTTGTACAATAGCTACTAAGACTATGTATGTCCCTCCATATCCATGTTCCCAAAGGCTGGTCTGCCTTTGATCGTAACAATTTCCGATTAGAATGCTTGTTAAAGCCTAAGCTCATTTTCTTTCTAGGATATAGATCATTTTGAAAAAAAGCTGTCCAATCTTGATCCTCATCGTTATCTTTAATGGGTGCAATCTGAACTTCAAAACCCTTATCTTTAGAATTTCATAAATAGAAACACAAGATTTCAACATCTGAACTTCAGTTGAAACTTTGTCTTCATATTTTCTAACTTTGTTTCTTTGTAACATGTTGTCTTTAGAAGTTTTGAGTCTTCAGTATCTGGACGTAAGTAGAGACTCCTGTCTTCAGATCTTTTGACTGGTTTCACTAGACAAATATCAGAGTTTACACTTAAGAGTCTTCTGGAGTGTCTTTTCTACTGTTCAATAGAACTTGTGTAGCATAGAAGCAGAATCATTTCTCTTCTAATGTCTTGGCCATGACATCCATCAGAAGTAGAAACTGTTTGTTAAGTACTCAACAATAACAAACATTAGTATAAAAATAAATTCATACAATCATACTCATTTGCTATCATCAAAACACAAAGATAATATTGCAGAACCAAATCTTATTCTTACATTTATTTCCTGTAGTTGATAAAGGAAAAGAATACAAGTTAGTGGAGTATACTGATTCAAGTTGGTGTAGTGATGTTGAAGATCAAAACTCCACAGCAGGATATGTGTTTATGCTAGGTGGTGCATTAGTTGCTTGGAGTTTGAGAAAAGAACCAGAAGTTGCATTATCATTGTGTGGATAAGAGTACATAACTGCTTCTCTTTGTGCATGCCAAGCAACATGGATGGTGAATTTGGTCGAGAGGTTACAGGTAAAGATCATGGAGCAATTACCATGAAGATCGACAGCATGTCAGCTGTCCATCTGATGAAGAATCTGATAGCACATGGTCGAAGCAAACACATAGAAATGAGGTTTGACTATCTTCGAGAGTAGGTAGCAAAAGCAAATATGAACTTGGAACACTACAGAACTGAGAATTAGATTACAGACATCATGACGAAGGGAGTGCATATTGAATTTTTCAAAAGACTAAGAGTTGTGATGAATATAGATAGTTTAGACACAATGAATTAGGTGGTGTGTTGAAAGTGTAATTTCTTGTGTCGAAAGCAGTATGTTTCTCGACATGAGGTTGTGTCAAATTAGATTAGTATGTGGAGTTGTTAGGTGTGTCGAATCAGTTGCTACACACAAATTTGATTTAGATTTGATTTACTTCTAAAATAGGTATTTTAGGCTTTTAGAGTTTGCTGTTTTTGGCTTAGGTAGAAAGCAAGCTCAATTATAAATAGAGGGAATAATCCCTTTTTTGTAACAAATTTATTCATTCACAGTATTTACAGTTGCAAGTGAATAAAAAAGTTTTTCATAGTTTATGGACAGAAAGAAACTCTGCAGAAATCCTAAATCTTTTTTTTCTTCTTTAATTTTCTTTTCTTTCATTGTCATTGTATAATGATAATAATTTTGTTCATCAAGATTAATAGAAATCCATCATAAATTTTAGTGGATTTCCAACACATCTAGAGAGTTTGGTCAACTACAAAAGATAGAAGATTAAATATTACAATTTATAATGAATTACTTAATTGGATGATCCAATTTACTCATCAGACACAAAACACAATCAAATAATTTATTAATAATTAATGTTTAATGACACTTTTAATTTCTAACCCAAACTTTTTCAAATTAAAATAGTTGAACCAACTGAACAGTTTCAAATGCCCTAGATTTATATTCCATTTTTCGGAACAAATCCTTAAGGTACTTAGAAAGTTTAATAATCAATCTTAAATTATTTAGTAACATTTCTTAAAATTTAGTAAATCCTAGGAAATTTCTGTTGTGAATATATTTAGATATCAAAAAATCTAAAAGATATTACATAAAACGCTGAATTTTTAAATAATTAAGTTCAAACATACATAATATATTGTGATTGGATGATATCAACAATTACAAGACATACCACACCGAAGACACTAAATATATAATATATGTTATTTTCCCATCATATTATTCCTTATTCACTTGTTGAACATAGGGGTGGTTATTATCATGGTCACTTCCATCATGATTAGGCACCCAAGCAATAGCCTTATTGCTAATAAAATGACAAATCAGAATCGTCCCATGCTTAACATTTAAAACTTCATAAAGCACCTTAGGATCCATACCTCTTGTGTCATGGTGACAGATTGTCATTGCCTTCGCTTTAGTTCCATCTGAGGCCACCAATGGAACCATATAAGCCGTTGTCGCATTGACTTGGTGACAATAAAATACAACTTTTTCCAAATTTAACCTATGCCACATCACTGTATTGTCTCCGATTTTGTTTACTTCTTCTATCACATATTGGTCTTGATTTTGCGCAAAGTAACTCGAAATCACCTTAATATTTTTTCCAAGCTTTGATATGGAAAAATCCATCATCGATTTTAAAGACGGCGCACAATACTTCTCTTCCCTTATAGCTGTCGGATTTGTACAATAGCTACTAAGACTATGTATTTCACTCCATATCCATGTTCCCAAAGGCTGGCCTGCCTTTGATCGTAACGATTTCCGATTAGAATGCTTGTTAAAGCCTAATCTCGTTTTCTTTCCAGGATATAGATCATGTTGAAAAAAAGATGTCCAATCTTGATCCTCATCGTTACCTTTAATGGGTGCAATCTGAACTTCAAAACCCTTATCTTTAGAATTTCATAAATAGAAACACAAGATTTCAACATCTGAACTTCAGTTGAAACTTTGTCTCCATATTTTCTAACTTTGTTTCTTTGGAACATGTTGCCTTTAGAAGTTTTGAGTCTTCGGTATCTGGACGTAAGTAGAGACTTCTGTCTTCAGATCTTTTGACTGGTTTCACTAGACAAATATCAGAGTTTACACTAAAGAGTCTTCTGGAGTGTCTTTTCTACTGTTCAACAGAACTTGTGTAGCATAGAAGCAGAATCATTTCTCTTCTAATGTCTTGGCCATGACATCCATCAGAAGTAGAACCTGTTTGTTAAGTACTCAACAATAAAAAACATTAGTATAAAAAATATATTCATACAATAATGATCATTTGTTATCATCAAAACACAAAGATAATATTGCAAAACCAAATCTTGTTCTTACATTTATTTCCTGTAGTTGATAAAGGAAAAGAATACAAGTTAGTGGGGTACACTGATTCAAGTTGGTGTAGTGATGTTGAAGGTCGAAAATCCACAGCAGGATATGTGTTTATGCTAGGTGGTGCATTAGTTGCTTGGAGTTTGAGAAAAGAACTAGAAGTTGCATTATCATTGTGTGGATAAGAGTACATAACTGCTTCTCTTTGTGAATGCCAAGCAACATGGATGGTGAATTTGGTCGAGCGTTTACAGGTAAAGATCATGGAGCAATTACCATGAAGATCGACAACATGTTAGCTGTCAATCTGATGAAGAATCTGATAGCACATGGTCGAAGCAAACACATAGAAATGAGGTTTCACTATCTTCGAGAGTAGGTAGCAAAAGCAAAGATGAACTTGGAACACTACAGAACTGAGAATCAGATTGGAGACATCATGACAAAGGGAGTGCGTATTGAAGTTTTCAGAAGACTAAGAGTTGTGATGAATATAGATAGTTTAGACACAATGAATTAGGTGGTGTGTTGAAAGTGTAATTTCTTGTGTCGAAAGCAGTATGTTTCTCGACATGAGGTTGTGTCAAATTAGATTAGTATGTGGAGTTGTTAGGTGTGTCGAATCAGTTGCTACACACAAATTTGATTTAGATTTGATTTACTTCTAAAATAGGTATTTTAGGCTTTTAGAGTTTCCTATTTTTGACTTAGGTAGAAAGCAAACTTAATTATAAATAGAGGGAATAATCCCTTTTTTGTAACAAATTTATTCATTCACAGTATTTACAGTTGCAAGTGAATAAAAAAGTTTTTCATAGTTTATGGACAGAAAGAAACTCTGCAGAAATCCTAAATCTTTTTTTTCTTCTTTAATTTTCTTTTCTTTCATTGTCATTGTATAATGATAACAATTTTGTTCATCAAGATTAATAGAAATCCATCATAAATTTTAGTGGATTTCCAACACATCTAGAGAGTTTGGTCAACTACAAAAGATAGAGGATTAAATATTACAATTCATTATGAATTACTTAAATGGATGATCCAATTTACTCATCAGACACAAAACACAATCAAATAATTTATTAATAATTAATGTTTAATGACACTTTTAATTTCTAACCCAAACTTTTTCAAATTAAAATAGTTGAACCAACTGAACAGTTTCAAATGCCCTAGATTTATATTCCATTTTTCGGAACAAATATTTAAGGTACTTAGATAGTTTAATAATCAACCTTAAATTTTTTAGTAATATTTCTTAAAATTTAGTAAATCCTAGCAAATTTCTGTTGTGAATATATTTGGATATCAAAAAATCTAAAAGACATTACATAAAACACTGAATTTTCAAATAATTAAGTTCAAACATACATAATATATTGTGATTGGATGATATCAACAATTACAAGACATTCCACACCGAAGACACTAAATATATAAGATATGTTATTTTCACATCATATTATTCCTTATTCACTTGTTGAACATAGAGATGGTTATTATCATGGTCACTTCCATCATGATTAGGCACCCAAGCAATAGCCTTATTGCTAACAAAATGACAAATCGGAATCGTCCCGGGCTTAACATTTAAAACTTCATAAAGCACCTTAGGATCCATACCTCTTGTGTCATGGTGACAGATTGTCAATGCCTTCGCTTTAGTTCCATCCGAGGCCACCAATGGAACCATATAAGCCGTTGTCGCATTTACTTGGTGACAATAAAATACAACTTTTTTCAAATTTAACCTATGACACATCACTGTATTGTTTCCGATTTTGTTTACTTCTTCTATCACATATTGGTCTTGATTTTGCGCAAAGTAACTCGAAATCACCTTAATATTTTTTCCAAGCTTTGATATGACAAAATCCATCATCGATTTTAAAGACGGCGCACAATACTTCTCTTCTCCTATAGCTGCCGGATTTGTACAATAGCTACTAAGACTATGTGTTTCACTCCATATCCATGTTCCCAAAGGCTGGCCTGCCTTTGATCGTAACGATTGCCGATTAGAATGCTTGTTAAAGCCTAAGCTCATTTTCTTTCCAGGATATAGATCATGTTGAAAAAAAGCTGTCCAATCTTGATCCTCATCGTTACCTCTAATGGGTGCATTAATTTCTTTGTCTGCATAATTAAAAAGATAACATAGTTATGATTAATACGCAGTATATATATATATATATATATATATATATATATATATATATATATATATATATATATATATATATATATATATATATATATATATATATATATATATATATATATATATATATATATATATATATATATATATATAACAATTTTACACAAATAGATCAAAGAGAGTCTAACCAGGGATGAATATGTCCGAGAGAATATTCGGTATAGGAGTGTTTGGCCAAACGGATTTCCAATATTCTTCTCCAGATTGCAATGCATGAATTTCCACCAAAGTCAACTGTGTACCAATCACTCAAATTAATATCTCAAATCACATAAACCAATGGAAATCGATTAACAATATGAACAAAGAAGAAAATAACTTACAACTATTAGAACTAAACAAGATAATTGTCTAAACTCCATTTAAGTTATTGTGGTAATCGTAGAAGTTATATGTGTGTCTATGATGTTGAAGGACTGCTTCAAGTGTTCAATATATATAGTGAATTGTTGGGTCCCCTCATAATGCAGAAGTTCTCGTTTTGTTATCTGAAAATATATAAAAAATCATATAGAGTTCCTTTGACTAGAAAGAAATGAGCTTTGAACAAATAAAAGATTTTAAGATGCAACATAAGTTTAGAAACTGTCTCTTAAATGTTGTTATCATCAAAGAGTATTTATGACTCTATGTATTACTCCTTAGGAGGAAGGTAACAAGCAAGTGGAGTATGAAAAGAAGATGAAGTATAAAAAGCATGTATTCAAGATTCTAAACTTTGGTCTCTTCATTTAAAGTCCTTAATAAAGTTATACTACAAGTAACACTACTAAGAATAAATATTTGTATCTCGGTTAGAAAATAAAGTGGTTTTACTTTCATTTGGTGGATGGAATAATGAATAATGTGCTCGATTTTTTTTTTGGGAGAAAAAATTGTATTGATTATGGGTTCGATCTCATGCAATAATATTTTTGTATTTTTAAAATTAGAAAGTGTGTCACTCAAAATAGATGTTTAGATAGTTTTCTTTTTAATTTATTTATTTTATTTAAATCTGCAAAGCATTAAATTTGTTGATAAATTTTGAATCTTTCTCATCATCGTCATGATCAGCAACAACAACAATAAAACAAAATCAATAGATTCATTAAAACATTTAATCTCAATAGAAACAACAACAAAATCAATAGATTCGTTAGACATTAAATCTAAACAACAATAATAACATTAAATTTTTTACTTGACACAAGAACAATAACTAACATTGATACGTTACATCCAAGTTTTCTAACTATTATTTAACAATTTTAACAAGAAATTGAAAGAGAAAAGATTACATTAAGGAACCAAACTTGCAACATTTTTCCGCTCTTGCAATCCATCCTAGAGAATGGTGTTGTATTTCATGTAAATGCTTTCATTATCATTGTTTTCATTACGTTAAGTATGCATTTCATCACTTTGCATCTAAGATGGATCGTTGTGGCATTCATGTTCTAATGGAGGATTTCACACAGATCTCTGATGTTTCATAATGATTGATCAGTTAGCAATGTCTTGACTGTTGTTATTTCATTTTTTATATCAAAATGACTACTAAAAATGAAATAATATATTTTATGATAAAAATTTTACTTCATCCAATATATAAGAAAGGTATAATCCATAAGCGCGCCACATTTTATGGATCAAGGAGTGAAAAGTGACTCAGGGACACACTTTGAATCTTATAGACTACAATTTATGTTTTTATTTATTTTTAATGATTTATTTCATTTTACAATGACGCGCCTTCCTTCATATTTTATTGGCTTAATTGCAACTTTGGTCCTTTTTTTTTTTAAAAAAATTAGACCCCCTCATTTTAAAATCTCGTTTTTTGATCCACTACTACAAAAAAGATCTTTCGTAAAACACTATTACAACGACATTCATGTTAACTATGGTAATAACTCGTTTACGCGCATCATAATTTTTTAATTATTTATTAAAATACATTTAATCACGATCATATAACTCAACTGTTTGTTATAACCCAATGTTTTCCCTTAAGATATCTCATTATCTCATTTTATCAATACATCAAAATCACACACTAGGGTTCGTTCTCTCTTTCTACTTCATCATATCTTTAAGTTTGCTCTTGAGGGATCCCCAAGCACCTTGAAGTGTGTATCTTGTACATGTGTTCTTTTAACTAACATCAAAATATGTATATATATTTCTTTGAATGGTCATATTATAGGTGATGACACAATTACATTCATCTCATCATCTAACCTAAGATTTGGGGGTTGGTCCTCAGTCAAATGGTTGTTGAATGGATTACAAGAACTTAAGCTTCAAGGCCATGTGCATGATATCAAATATTTATGGTTCAAAGAGTTCTCTCATTTTATTTAGGTCAAACTTTCCTCAAAGTTAGTGTTGACATTCATCAAGAAGAATCATAGTTTCATGTGTTTGTTTCCATGCCTTCTTCACTAGTTTCATTGAAACTTTAGCTCCATCTTTGGCTGTGCTTCAAGACAATATCATTTTATTTCCAATTGTGATTGATTATATTTTATTTTTCAAAGAAAGTTCAAAAGGATTCAAGCTTGATTCAACAAGTTTGACCTAATTGACCAAGTGCTTGATTCGGTGATCACAAGTGTATAACTCTCTCAATTTTCAATATTTTGAGTTGTTTATTTTTGCTATGGGTACTTGTCATTATCTACAACAACCTCTCTTCACATGGCAAGATCGAATTGTACAAGAAAGATCATCAAAAGTTGAAAGGGGTTTCAAGTCATTTTGATACTCTATGAGCTAGGGTTTGTGGAGTTCCAAGGACCATATCTTGCTCATTTTTTGAGATTTTTTATTGACTCCAAAGCCATGATTCTCTTCAAAGGGTCCTTAAAAAGTTTTCTTCATGGATCTAAGGCTAATTTTGAATGGAAGATTAATAATGGTAGAAAAAGATTAAAAGTCTCTTTGAAAAAGCCTTTGAATCTTAGGGTTTGACTTCAAATGATCATAACTTGGTCAATTTTTATCTGCTAGAGCCCATTCTTTTTTCATAATAATCTTTGAGGCGTCTAGTACAACTTTGTTTCAATGTTCTAGACTTGAAAATTCTTGAAAAGTTATTGAAGAATTGAATAGATTATAGGTCTTTTTTGAATTTTCCCAAATTTCTTCATCATCGTCCAAAGATCATAACTCTTTCAATTTTTATGATTTTTGAGTGATCTTTATTCGAAAATTCAATTCAAGAGTTCTACTTCATGTTATCGTCAAATACAAATACCAAATTTTGGGTGGACGGTCATGTAATTTTGAAGAACATTATAGGTCATTTTGAGGTCTCATACTTAGAAATATTTCTAAGTACAAAAGTAAAATTTGTTTTCACGATTTCAAAGTGATGTAACTTCCAGCTCAATTATCCAAATGGAGTCTTTCTTGACACATTGTAAAGATTATGACCTTGTCTTTCAAATGCTTCAAGAACAATATCATAAAGCCTCTTGATTTGTGTGCACCATGGATTCAAAGTTGGTATTTTGGAACTGAAGTTTCTCATGGTAGTCAGATTGCAATTTCTATAATGTGACTTCTAATCACCAAATTTGTGCATTTTTTCAACTTAAACATGATTAGGATAAATGTTTGGTTAATTAGAGTGTCAAAACACATCATTTGGATGAGTTTTGATGCACATGTGATCACTTTTTCCTCATGACCATAGGTGTGCTCGATTTCCACTCACTTCTTCTATTAATGTAGACCATATTCCACTCATTTTTACAAGCTTGGATAGCTAAAATCACCTTGCCAAACTCTCTCCATAACTCACAATTATGAGTTTTCGGATTCACTCTTCCCTTGTTTTTCATTCCAGTTTCTTTGCTTATTCTTCATCCTTTAACTTCACTGAAGCTAACAGAAGAAGAACCCAGCCTATATATGTTCTAAATCGTGCTAGCCAAGTCAATTTTCAGAGCTCTGAAGTTGAGCTTCAACAGGTAGATTCCTCATCAATTCTCTCCAAATTTATTACTACAATATAGCTCTCATCACTCTGATACTCATAGCGTCGGTGGTTTTTAATTGGAAATGAGTTTTTCTCATGAACTTTCAAAACCCTTTTCATTTTTTTCTTCTATTTTTTTTGCAAATCGACTAAGCTACACTATATATAAGATTTTCGCGAGGGTACCATTGGAATCGTCTTGATGAGACGAAGCGAATGTCACCAGTCTGAGCTTCTAATTTTACAGTTTGCGGAACCTGCAACTCGCGTGTGGCTAGAGGTTAAAGGTGACTAATGTGTCATCTCTCAACCAATGACATCGCGCCGCATGTTTTTTTCAAATTTGTTTTAAATAATTGATCCAGTGGTCTATTCACTAATGTACATATCATGAACCGTGCGTCTGGTCCTTTGGATTATCTTACTAATGGTTTTTGACATTGATCAATGGTCCACATTATTCTAATATTATTATTATTATTTTTTATTTAATTGTTTTAAAATTCAAAAATTCATAAAAATTCAGTTCAACTTCTAAAATCATGAAAAAATTATCAAAAAAACTTTTGATTTTCTATTTCTGATTTTAATTTTTTTACAATTTTATTTTGTGATTTGATATTTTTATGATTTTTTTACTTTATTTAAGTTGTTTTAGTTGTTTAAAATTACTTTTCTTGATTTTTAAATTCTGAAAAAATTATGGGAGGATCCAATGACCTCTTGACAAATATTGATGACTTCATTTTTTTTTATTTTACTATTTTTTACAAATTATGGTTTATTTAGCTTTTTTTTTTTTAAATTTTAAAATAGTATCTGACTTCAGAAAGATTTGAAAATTTTTGTCAACACTTATTTTCTCATGTTTGACTTTTGAAAATTTTTATAGGATTTTTATTTGGGGTTTTAATACATGTTGTGTATTTTACCAATTATTTCCCTTTTAAATCATTTAACTTTTGTTTTATATTAAATATATTTTATCATTTTCTTATTGGTCCTGATTTGGAGACACTTGAGTAATTTTTTTTTGGACAAGTTCTTCAACCTCATTGGATCTTGAGCGTTGATAGAAAAACCAAATCCACCAAAATGGATGAATGATGTTGACAATATTTGCAACCCTAGTTTCATCTAATACATCCCCCTCCTTCTTCATTCTATCCCTTTCTTGTTTTTTACTTGTGCTACATATTTTTGGAGAATGATCTACATATCATTTCTCTAACATGTTGGTACATAGATTGTTATTGACCGACCTCAAAATAGGTGTGACTTCTACATAAGCCCACTTACAATTGCTTATTATAGCGCTAAATTTGTCATGATTCAAAAAATGATCATTTGTGGCCCAAACCTATGCTTGCAAGCCCTAGCATGTTTAATTTAAAA